TAAGATGGAGGCTGGGCCCCAGGGATGTGCCTCTGAGCCCCGGTCTCACTGCGGGGAGCTCTCACCATCCTTCCTGAACCCACCTCTGCCCCAATCCACAAATGACAGTGACCTCTCAACTGAGGAAGCTCAGCTGGTAGGGAGAGGGGGTAGGCGCAGGGCAGCGGGCCCTGGGGCCACAGGGGGGCCATATCCTGTGGCAGATGAGACACCCCCAACGTCAGCTAGCGACTCAGGCTCCTCACAGTCAGATTCTGATGTTCCACCAGAAACTGAGGAGTGTCCATCCATCACAGCTGAGGCAGCCCTCGACTCAGATGAAGATGGGGACTTCCTGCCTGTGGACAAAGCTGGGGGGGTCAGTGGAACTCACCATCCGAGGCCTGGCCATGACCCACCTCCTCTCCCCCAGCCAGACCCCCGCCCATGCCCTCCCCGCCCTGATGTGTGCATGGCTGATCCTGAGGGGCTCAGCACAGAGTCTGGAAGGGTAGAGAGGCTACGGGAAAAGGAGAAGGCACAGGGGAGAGTAGGGCGCAGGGCCCCAGGCCGGGCTAAACCAGCATCTCCTGCCCGGCGGCTGGATCTTCGGGGAAAACGCTCACCCACCCCTGGTAAAGGACCTGCAGATCGAGCATCCCGGGTCCCGCCCCGGCCACGCAGCACTGCAAGCCAGGTCACCCCAGCAGAGGAAAAGGATGGACACAGCCCCATGTCCAAAGGCCTAGTCAGCGGACTCAAGGCAGGACCAAGTAAGTATGATGTGAAAAGTAGGAGAGATTGTGGACTGGAACTGGGTGTGGCAGGAATGGGGGGAAGGGAAGGAGGGAAAAGGTTGCCAAAAGCAGTCTACTTTCCCTCTACAATGAGTCCTGACTTGTTTCTACAGTGGCCTTGGGTTCCAAGGGCGGCTCTGGCCCCCCTGTATATGTGGATCTTGCCTATATCCCGAATCATTGCAGTGGCAAGACTGCTGACCTTGACTTCTTCCGACGAGTGCGTGCATCCTACTATGTGGTCAGTGGGAATGACCCTGCCAATGGCGAGCCGAGCCGGGCTGTGCTGGATGCCCTGCTGGAGGGCAAGGCCCAATGGGGGGAGAATCTTCAGGTGAGTGGCAAGGGATGCCAAGGAGGTAGTATGGTCAAAGCTTACTCAGAGGCAATAGTGGAACACAGTCTATTCATAAAAGGACTGAGTCTTTTCTATGGGCAGTGGGACTACTTCCTGGACCATCAGGTGTCCCACCCCCCTCACATACATTCCCGTCACATTCTCACATCCAGCATGTCTTATCTCCCTCCTAGGTGACTTTGATCCCTACTCATGACACAGAGGTAACTCGTGAGTGGTACCAGCAGACTCATGAGCAGCAGCAACAACTGAATGTCCTGGTCCTGGCTAGCAGCAGCACCGTGGTCATGCAGGATGAGTCCTTCCCAGCCTGCAAGATTGAGTTCTGAAAGAACCACTCTTCCTTTCCCAAGGATCTGCTCCCCCAGCTCCTTTAGAGAATGGCTACTGCTAAGTCCTTTGGGGTTGGGGGACATGGGAGCTGGGGAAGGAGAGGGTGGGGGGCAGGATGTCTTGTGGGGACTTGGATTGGGCTAAATGATAGGGGTTGTCCCTTTCCCTCATCCATACTTGAAAGGAGTCGCAAAAGCAGAGGTAACAGATAGGAGGAGGTAACAGAAAGGGGGAGGGTACAAAATTAGGATAGGAGGTCATCTGATGCCTGAGAACTCTGGAGTGACACCCTCTCCTAGCACTGCCAAATGCTGGTATT